GCACGATATTCTAATTTTTTGAGTTTCACCTGTAAACTCACAGTGGGTCACAATTAAAATTCTACCTATTCCAGCAGGCATTAGCACATGCTAGGTACAATATGTGAGTGAACACAAAAGTCACACTTATTATTATGCACAATTTTAGTTATCTATAGGAATGTTTTAAACAGTGTATAAAGCAGCACATCTCAATGAAAGAGATGAAAATGATTTAACTGAAGTTTTATATCCTGTCATTCATTCAAATATGAGATGGCCTGCAGGATTATAGTTTAGTCATAATCTATGGTTTGCATGGGAAATTGTTTCTATTCTTGAAATATATCAATTGATTGTCATTGTGGGATCTGTGTGGTGGTATGTATCCTATAGCAGTATTGTAATCTACCTTTCCTGCTTTCAGAAGTGTGGGGTAATAAAAATACCCGCACGGAGGCACTATTTCATTTTAAGGTGGACAGCATTCAATACACCAGAGGTCTGTAACAGCTTTCTAAACCGATACCAGTGCAGAACATCAGTCTTCTACAGATGTTCTATTTACATGTTACACAAAGAAGGGGTTATCCTATTAACTACCAAAGACCAATTCAACAGCCTAGAAAAGTAAAGTTCTATTTTGAAAAGGAAAAATTGTAATTCATTGGAATAACATGTGCTTTGTCTGGAGAAGATTCCTGGCAATTCCAAGGTAGTTTGGGAAAGTGTCTCTATATGCTGATTACTATAAATTGAGCTAGAGGAATTAATAAGGTAAGACAGCTTTCCATACTTTAATAATTAGAGATGCAGTTTTCTGTGTTTCAGAATCAGGTATTCTTCTGCCACAACCCAAAATAAAAATAGTATGAGGATTTCAGTAAAAGAGTTTCAAAAAGTCAGAACAAATCATCTTGAGTACTACCACAACAGCTCAACAATTTCAGATCCTTATGTTAGTTGCTCTGTAATTATTTCATGATTGGTGTCCATAACAACTGAACCACAGTGCAATACTGCATGTGTGTGTGTGAGGCACGCACATGCACACACTAGCTTTGTTGTTAAAATAAAAGATGTAAAGCAAACAAAAGAAATATAATTCACAATTTATTATGAGATACATTAGAAACATGTCAGAAAAGATTTTTAAAAACATGATTTAAATTGAATAGTGCTGACAACAGATCTCATATATACCATATATATGTGTTTGTATAACCCTGTATGCCTTATTAAAGAATTGAGAATTCATTTTCTAAGACCTATATAGAGACACTTAGCAAAATTGTGGCCATCATTCATGTCTTCTGACGAACTGCGTATTAGCTTTCATTTTCTGCAGTCATATCCAAAAGAGTTTTTACAGAATTATAATGTTCTCCTAATCCATACGCGTGTCTCATATAGCTAAAAGAAAAACATATATATATATATATATATATATGAAAAATACAAGGATTTCTACCAAATTAAAACAGCACATGCATACATTATATAAGTCACCACATTATTTGTTTATGCAAAAGATTCCTATGGCTGACCAGAGTTATGTTCTAAGATAGGTGGTCATACAAATCTTTTAAGTAAATAAAGTTCATTTTAAGAATAAGTTAATAAATACAATGAGAAAGTTCAGTCTCTCTCACCAGAAGTCATTAGTACATGAACTAAGAAACATTAGTGTTCTTGCTTTAATTAATATTCTCTTTTCTTAAACTGATTCATTTTCTATAAGAAAGTGGACACTTTTATTCTTGGGTGGTTGTTCAAAGAAAACAGGGAGCAACATACTGACTTTCATTACTTTATATTATCAAAAAGATGATATTGGTGATCATAGGGATCACAAACAACCTACAAATCTGAAGGTCAATATTATACCTCTGAATTTGTTTCTAAGCTCTGAGAAAGGTGCCAACTTGGACCTGAGAAGATACCCAAACCACATAGCCCTATGTGGTTTCATCTTAAAATTAATCTGCACTTCATTTCTTAACTGTAATTCGTTTCAACTACTACTCAAATTTATAGCAGCGAAACAAAAATTATTTTGAACTTCAATGTTTAAAGTATTTACTTACACAAGTATTAGTGGTTTCCTACTATATTCTTCACCAGCAATAATAGGAGGGGAATCCATCTGAATTACTTCAATTGGTGTTTGCAAGATATGTGATAAAGCTCTTAGCTGTAAAGCAAAATTACATCTTAATTTACAACATTTTAATCTCATCTTTTTCACTTCAGTGTTCTCTACAAAAGATTTTTCTATAAAAGCATATGCGATGTATAATTCTATCATTCTGGCTCCATATACTTAAATTCCTAATTAAAAGGAAAGCTTTATCTTTAGATTGAGTTGTGTCTGGTGCACGGAATATTATTTGCACATCTGCAAAGCAACCTCACTAAATTTTCCAACTGCAATTCCCTATATCCCATCATGTTGTCTGAGGTCTCCTTAACTCCTCAGGATCAACTTTTGGGTGGTGACAGGGGTCACATGGATCTGCAATAGTGAGTGGAACTAGGAAAGTCCCAATAGCACCAGCAAAACTCCACTCACCCATATCTAGACGCAATCTTTAGTACATGTAACATCTTAAAATCTAAATATTAACAGTGTCAATTTCAAGACACTAGTCCATTCATATACTGATAAGGTCTGAACAGCAAATGCATAAAGTTTGCCTTATTAAAATGACAGCAGATAAGACTGTTCTTTTGCTATTATTGCTGTTAGTTGAACATCAGCTGGACTACTGAAAGTAT